TGATTGGTTAGAGGATATCATCATAAACTAACATCGGTTAGAGTACCATTGAAAAACCTAAGAGTACTGGGCGGCCAATTACTTTGTACAGGTCCCAAGCTCTTCACACCTGACCTGTTGTACCTCGCTGGTACAGGTCGGATGTAATGACAAATACTAGCCGACGACACTCGCTAGTGGTCGCATCATATCCTGAATTGACAGAAGTTTGAATTCATGGACCATTGGATCGAGTCCCAGTGTTTCGATGGTATACGAGCTCGCCTTGTAATCTGGGTGGGTATTTAAGGCTGAAGAGTCCAGGACCTGCACAAAGAGCAACTGGCTGTCCAGTATTCTTAGGTTTTCCAATGGTCCTCTAACCAATGTATGTTTATGATGAAATCCCAAATTAATTCGATCACTTAACCAATGAAACGTGAATATAAATCCACATAAAAACCAAGTACTTCACCCATAGGGCCATCATTACAGCAAGTTAAGAGTAGAAATTTCAAGGCTACTACTAACTTTCGTACATATTTATTTAGGAAAGGTAGCTACAGTCGCAAACAAGATGAAACATTTTACCGAAATTCAAAAGCGGATCACTTATTGCTCAAGTTAAACACAAGCATCCAAAATGTTAACCGACACTCATTTTTTCTAATATCGATTCTTTATAGATGACCACATCGAATTCGTTGCATAGTATGGCGTGATAAATCTATCCTTCTGTATTTCGGATAGCATAGCTAAGTTCCCTAGAAGTGCTACCTCACCAATTTAAGTAAATACCGATGGATGTTATTCATAAAACTATAGACTTACGATGACTACAATCGTGGAGCAAGCTAATGAAGACAGGTAGTGAACGAGGCGAAAGGGAAATGGGCTTCTGAATCCCTATATGTTCCGTAAGGAACCGTAATGCAAAAATGACTAATAATAACTACTTACATACATTTTGACTTTTATTACTGTTCAGATGTTGACTAGCTGGATAAAACCAATCATCATTATCCTCAAAAGTACAGAGAGGTACAGCACGCAGAATCTAACTAGATGACTGGAAAAAGGCGTTTCTTTCTTAACAAAGAAAGATTATTATTTATTACAATGACGGATCAATATAATAATATAGTTTTTGCATATGACATTTAAAGACGTAATTGTTCATCTTTTTCTGGGTTCTTTATATTACCAAAATTAGATAGATCTTCCTTTTTACAATTACCCAGTTGATATTTATTCAAAATAAGATCGAAAATAACAAGTGAATATATATATATATATATATATATATATATAATCGACATAACCAATGTTACTTAACTAAAGATTATTACTGGAGTTGAACTGTTTCTTTCACAGGAAATATTGACCATTAATCGATGATATTCAGCTTCAGATGAATATATGAGAATATTTGAAAGCTTTCCATATGGAAAGATCAGGAAACTATGTATACTCTGTGTGGTGTAAACAACCTGTATGCCTTTTTACAACAATGTGAATAGCAATAAATGAAGTCTACCACCTAAATTCTATAACTTCTGCAAAACAGAAACCGCATAAGCGAGTTCATTGAAGATGAATCGTGTAGTGTGTTTCTTTTGTACAAAGAACACATCGGCTACCTGAAACACCACTCTTAAGTAATTGTTGTAGGCGAGTATCTAAACTGAAACCATCAAATTATGAATTTGTTCATCAAAGAGTTTAAATGATACTACAATCAACAAAAAACAACAACTAATCTTTGTAGTACTTGGAACTTTTTCAGCGATATATAAATGGAACGAAATTAGAGAGCTAGTTTTACAATAGTTCAGGTTTACATTCGAGTACGGTGTTCTGAATTGACATAATTAGTGCCTGACCAGTTACGTTTACAAGACTACTAACACTACCTGTGAAGGGTTAAACACAAGACAATTAATTCAATAACCTTGGGTGAATCTTACGTTGGAAGTGTTCTTCTCAACAGCTGGGGAACTATTTCAAAACCGTCATAGTATTTACACTGAGTATTGTCACTTATGATTCTTTACACTGACTATTGCGAGTCTAACAAAGTTCAAAATGACAGCCATCGACTTCTTGAATTGGCTTATATTTCGTGGTCTGTATATCTTGGGCTTTCATGTACCTTCACAATCAAAATAATACAGCATGCATATGTGGACAGTGACTTGTCAGTCGTCCACTGACTTTATTCCACAGTTTCAAAACACTTCTCATGGCCAGAACTTCCGTGATGCTTCTTAGTTTCCGACAGGGGTTAACGTGTTCTCAAAACATTCAGCTTACAAATAAATAACTGAAAACTGTAAAAAGTAAAACATTTTTTTCGAATTAACACTAAGTTTCCAGTTGAACTTTATAATTACTCAACTAAGTGTAACTCCGATACTCCCTACAGATATGATTATTTACCGATTACAAACTAATATACTGCAACCCCTCTCCAAATGAATGACATGATGTGCACTAAGAGATAAAATCAGTTGGAGAACTGTTGCACAATGTGGACAACTGTTTCGTCCTATTTTGGGATTTTTCGTGGTACGCAACCACCAGGATTCAAACCCAGGACCTTTCAGTTACAAGGTGAGCTCTTAGACCATCCAGCCACTGGGACCTGACCCAACAACCTATGAATTTCAACTTCTGCTGATTCGCGATAAGCAACCGCCGACCAATTTCATAGGTGTGAGTAACTGATCTTTCATGTGACCTGGTGGTTACGACTCCACACTAGAACTCCAGGTAACTTCCTGTATAGAACCAGTCACTAGTGAGCGTATTATTAATTATCAGTTGCTGGTTTGCAAGGACTTAAATGATCACGAGTCGAAATCAGTTGGAGAACCGTTGGAAAACCTAAGAATTAACAGTTGTCCAGTACTCTGAGGCTTCCCAATGGTTCTCTAATTGATGCCAAATGGTGTAACGAATTAAATCACTGAAACACCAACACTTAATAGTACCATTTAACCACAAACTCGTCGAATGAATGAATAAACATATTTTGAATATTATCAGAGGACAAATTTTACCTAAGAAGCTGCATCACACTAGTCAAATACTTCTTTATTTATGGACTACTAACCGATGAATGACACTTTTTTAGATCCAGATAAAACAATAGCATTATTATTATTACTAGTATTGCTGTTGTTTATCATTTCACCAGAGCTATTACATGCTTGGAAATAGAACTTATAAAAACCTACCTAACCTATACAAAACACGCCAATCTTCAACGCTTCTCTTATCCCCAAACTCCATTATAACAACAACAACAGACTTAACGAGTTTAGCTGGAAGTGCACACACGCTATAGAAGAAGAGAAGACGACGAAAAAAGAACAATAAATAAAATAAATATTAACTCATTTATGCAAAAATAAGATATATATATATATATATATATTTTGTGTATGTGTATGTGTGTGAGTTAAAAGAAGCAAAAACAAACAAAGAAAGAAATGCTCGGTTAAACAAATATACATCAGTTCTGAACAAATGTACACTCACTCACTCCCTCTCACACACACATACACAAAACATACACAGGGGAAAATGGAAGGAGAATATAAAGAGGAGAAACACAATATGATGCAGAAGAGAGATGCAAACCGTCACATTATCAACTAAAAATACAGAAATGTGAAGGAAATGCAGTAAACTAAAAGAAAAAAACAGTAAGTCCAGGAGAAAAAAAAGCAAACAAACCAATTCTACACCAAAAGCCAAGAACAAAGAAAGAATAAGTGGGGTAAAGGAAAGAGAAGAACAAATAGTAAAATAGGCTGTGCTAAAAACAAAAACACAGAGAAAATAACTTTGAAAGTGTTTTACTTTGCCCTTAAAAAAGAGATAAATGGGCATGATTATCAAAAAAAAAATAAATAAACAAGAAATTGTGATTAAATAATTCATCACCAATCACCACTTCTCTTTTCTGAACTGTGTACAAAAAGAATTTAAAATCAAACTAATAAAATGTTTAAAAAATTTAGATTTATACAAAAACTATATATATATATATATATAAACATCCTGCAACAAAATATTATGTAGCAAAGATGTATATGCGTGTACATGAGTGGAATAAGACAAGTTAGGGTAAAAAGCCTTTAGATTAGAAAAACAAGAAAGAAACGCAGAAGTACATGGATTATGATGATGATAGTAATTTGCCAATATTACATATATCACTGCAAATCTTTAAGTGTATAAATTACACACTGACAGAGATCGTGTAAATTTGATGGTACGAAGTAGTAATATATTGATTTTTGATTTTACTATGCAAACACACTATATTCTCTTTTTTCTCGACTAAAATAAAAACCAACAAATAAACAAAACTAATCGAAATTATCGACAGAGCAAAAACACAAAATAACCCAAGAAAGAAAATACCACCAAAATGATTATTACACAAAAGATACGATGGATAACCAACCGCCTTTTACTTTACAATAAGATGATTGATTATGTAGAGGCATCTATCTCTATATACAGGTGGTGTCTACATCAAGTTTAATTCAGAAAAAGATGTAAGTGATTGACAAAAAAGGCCGGAAGGGGAGGGGAGGGGGGAACAAAACTACAGGCTAAATAAAATATGGCGCTTAAATAGAAGAATATACACAGTTACAGCAGCAGCAATACCAGCCAGTGGCAGGGATAATGTGTTCCGAATTCAGGGAAAGAATAGGTAGTACGTAAGTGGAGGACAGAGAACAACATACACACATGTAAGTGTTGTAAAATAAAACCGAAAGCACAGAAAAAAATAATAAAAGAAAAGGTATGCGCGCTTCACTCATGGCTTTTAGAAAAGAGGGGAAAAAACAACTAAACAAAAATCTATACAAAATGCAAATGATTTCAAATGACAAAGTAAATACTTTCTTCTTCATCAATTAAGTACTACAATGTACAAGTTATGTAGATACATTTATTTATATAAGTTGATTACAAATCAAGGAACTTTAGACGTCGTGTCACTTTTTCATTTGACTGTTTGGATGTGTGGATGACGAGAAGCTATGACTAGAACTTTGATGCCGACGAATCCAATTGCTATTATCTTTATTACTATTGCTATTACTCAAGTTACGGTCATCACCACCAGAAGATCCCAGAGTACAAGGAGTATTTTTGGTGTCTGGAGAACAATGTCTATATTGTTGAGGCTGTTGAATGTTTACTTTCATAGTTTTAGTCGAGGAGACTGAACCGGCACGAGGTAAGTGTGCAGTTTTCGAGACTGAGCTTGAATTCTCCGGGGAACTCTGATACATTGGACTGGAATAAGATGAAAATACTGTTGGTATAGTCTTCTTTTTGAACTGATGATCAGATTTAGAGACTTGTGATAATGATGATGAGGTAGAATAAGAATTTGACCGGTAAATATTACTAGGAGCAGGTGACTGTGTATTTTGTCGACTAGCACTATAATAGTTACTTATACGTGATTTCATTGGAATTTCATTATCTGGTAAATTAGTTAGTGTATTTGATTGCATAGATTCACCTTGTCTATGAGATTTAGGCGGCATATTTGCTGAACATTTATCAGGGATACTAGATTGTGGTTGATTGATCACACTAGAATAAGGTGGTGGTGGGATGTTTTCAACAGGACCTTCAAAACCAACTTCTCCAGCTTGTTTGTATGCTGCTGCTTGGCGACTCGTTGCTGTTACTGCAGCCAACAATGTACACGCTATTTCTGGATTTAAGATGAGTTCTTTGCTTTTGCTAGCTCGATAACTTTTTACTGGTGTACGACTATTACACGAAATAGGAGATATAATAGAGCTATATAAACTTTCACAGATCTCATTAGCTGACATATTTGGATTCAAAAGTTTACTCATTCTTATAAAATCAACTGAAGATACAAGACTAAGTGGTAGATTTTGATGTGAAAAATCAGGTTTCACTGAATTAACAGATTTAGGTGATGATGGATCTGATGGCATATTTGTACTTTCCATATTATTACAGCTGATACGACTACCACTACCGCTACTTGTTGAACCATGTCCTGTATTAGACGGTGTAGCATGATTTAAACTCACAGTTGAATTCGAATGAGAAGGTTCTTCTGAAATAGTACTTAGACTAGGTGGTCTGGATCGAACTGACGCAGCGGCTGCGGCGGCGACAACAACTGCAGCCGCGGCTGCAGTCGCAGCGGCATCTGATGAACAGGCGTGATCAGGCGTAGAATCCATCCATATAGAGTGATGACTGGGATATTTTAGACTGTGATGAACAATATCTTTGGTCGACTCTCTCAAAATTGAATAGGCAGAATCTTTACAGAATGGTTCTGTTTTACCAGGTGATTTAGCATTCTGATGTGATTCATCAGTAGGATTCAAATCTGACTGACTAAAGGAACTGGATGAACGTGATGAACTAGGCGATGACAAATTTGGCGACATATTAGAAGATGAACTTGAAAAGGATAATTGTAAATCATTCATCATATTCACCTGATGGTCTTCATTGTTCACATTCGCTCTAGTAGAAGCAGACTTCAGATATCGATGAATACGTTTATCTCCAGCCGAAAAATTATCTGTTTTCACTGAAGATTTGTACGGAATTGAATTACTCGATACACGCCGTCCGCCAATTATGAACTAATCTCAAACAAAATTTGAAAAAAAAGAACACCGAATTAATATAACTTCATACAGAAACTTTCTTATAATTTATAACCACCTCTACAGAGATTAAAATATTTCTACATTGTCCAACTATATTCTCATTTCAACAGAAAATACTTCAATACATTTCTTATATCTACGGTGACTTATTTACTTCTTACGACCAAGTTGTTTGAGGAACTCAGATATCAAGTAGGTACCAGATTCTTGAATAATACACACTGCAAAAAACGTTATACCAACCATTAGCCAGGTTACACTGATGTCATATTTATGGGTTAATTATTTTCAATAAAAATTCACTTGAATCAATTAGTCTGCATAGGATGTAATGAGAAAAACAAAGCACAATGTCTACACTTCCTTTACCTAACAATCAAACAGTCTTTATGTTAGATGGTAATCATAATAACCAATCCAGTTTTATCTTTTTATGCCTACTCTCCATAAAAATACAAAGTACTTCGGTGAGTTACAGTTTGAAAAAAATTCTCCTTTGAATGTTTTTAAGATAAAATAGGACTTAGAACACACAAATTGATTAGAACAGTGACAACCCGAATCACTATAAAAGAGGCCGATATATATATATATATATATATTGTGTGGATAAATTAAACCCTGTCTAAACTAGTGACAGTATTAGAAATCATATATTGCGGCACACTGTATAGAGAAAGCAACGAAATATACATGGAACTACAAAACCGCACTTGATTTCAACGTCCATGTGTTATTGCTGAAGCTAGCAACGATATTTTCTTTTTATAAACTCCGCAAGCAAATTTCAGCCTGTAAACAGATGATTGAGAGATGATGAAAAGAAAATACAAAGCCACTAAATATTATGTTATGTTTACCATTTTCAATATTTCTTGGATTTATTTCGAAGTAAAGCATTGATGCTAACAGTGGGTCATCAAAGTGAAACAGCGATTAATAAGACGGCGGTCGTAGCATTCAGATCAAGCGTTTTAACCAAAAGATCATGACACTAGAAAGCTACAAGTATATATTCAGACAAATTACGTCTTCTTATTGCTTTATCTAAATTCATAAAGGGAACTAATTGTTTTAAATATATATCCGTTGAGGCTATCACCAAATCATCTTAACAATAGGGCTATTACTAGACATCTGATTGATACCGGTTATGAGGTGGAAATCGCAAATTCCTTTAAAATTATCAATAGACAAAAGAGCTCAATTCTTCCCAAGTTTGCCAAAGCAGTCTCTATCCTGAAACCCGATTTCACTGTTCAGAAAGAAGCAGTTATCAGTCTTTCCTTACCCTGGTAACTGGATGTCTTTATTCTCTATTTCATTTGACTGAGTAGCCTTTTGCTCTAACCTCACCTCCTTTGATGTAGCGTAATTTTGCCTGTCTCTTGTTTCTATGATTTGAGTTGAAGTCAGTACATTGTTACCGAATTTATAAGTCACTCATCCTCTTACGCATCTCTCGTCTTTATTACAATACTCCTTTACTATTGTATGGATACATTTAATTTGTTTAAACTTGAAGTCCCTGTGTAAAAACTATATAAGCGTAATATTCTGAGCACTGTTCACTAAGCTCAGATATTCCTGTCAACTGAAATCATGTAAAATTCGCAAGTATGTTAAAACTTTTCTGTACATAAACTTGATAATAATTTACTTAGGCTGTAAGCAGCAGGTGATGACAAGCCAACTTAATAAATGATGGTACCATATCGTTCTGCAAAAACTGTTGTCCTTGCTTTATTCATCTTTTATGTAGTGAATTCACCGGTGGTACCATGTCGACGTCAAGTGCTCAGCTCATGATCTAATAAAGTTCCTCACGAAGATTTGTGAGCTAAGAATGATTGAGGTGTAAACTGCCGATGTTAAAGTAAGAGAGCTTCAATGTTTATCTAGATATAAAATGTTGGATTCATTGGTCAGGAAAGAATAAGACAGCTTAAAATGTGATCGCACCGATAAATCGGTAAAGATGCATACAAAATCACCAATCAACATTGAATACCATGTCAGGATATATTAATATGCTAATTCCAATCACCAAAATGTGCATCGGTGGCGCAGCGATAGGACGCTCGCCAACCACGCACGTGGTCCATCGTTCGGTCCCCGGCCACTGACGCACTTCTCTACCTCACTAAACCAGTAGTAAGACCGTTAAAGAGGGAAGGTTGGGCATGGGGCTAGCAACTCCATCCCGTAAAAATAAACACCACTGCTATCGAAACTCCAAGCCTGTAACTTGAAGCCCCATGTTCCAATGGGAACGTAAAGAAATACAAAAAAATCACCAAGATGACAGTAATAAGTTGTCTAGGGAATTTATGTTATAAATAGTAAAACAAAAATAACTATGACGCCAGTAATCGAAACATTTATTTGGCTAGGAATCCTTATCACCTAACTATTTCAAGTTTACTACTAATACTCCATACTATTCCGTTTTAAAATAATTCTGATAAGTTTTTATATTGCATTGTTAAAAAGTTTGGCGAATGATATCGACGAAGTAATGTAATATTCTCTACTCCAATTACTGAATTATATATAATATATTATATATATATATATATATATTTATAATATATATATATATATATATATATATATATATATATATATATATAATTTAGAATTCGCTTTCAATTTATGTTACTAGCTGCATAGAATCAATATGCACTAGACTATCAGCTACAGTCTCAGGTTCAAACTGTATTTCACTTATTTTAACCTGCCCAAAGGGTTGCATTAAAGCCGTAGTACACTAGATGTGAAGCAAAAGTGGATAGTTCAACTGTAACACATATATTTTTAACAACGCTCGCCCGACTACCTTGTTGATTGATATGAAGCCCTATATCAATGATAAAAGCGACTCTAGAATCAGTTTCTATAGCGTTAAAAAATATGTTCACACATGGGAATACTTTTTTCTCCCTTAACACTCATGTGAAAAGGTATACTTTAACAGGATTTGTGCTGAACTGATCAATTAGATGCTACTGTGATGAGTACTACTCAGAATGAGATATAAATAGCATATCAATAAACGGATTCAGAAAAGTAACAATATGTTTCGGACACTAGAAAAAGGGCAATCGAAGACGAGAACTGTAGAGAGAACGTTAGAAACACTGTACAGAATCCAACAAGCTATCAAATGTGCTGATATTTGACCAATTTGCAAATGATGTGCATTTAACGCATTGCATATTTGCAAATATAACAAACGGAGACATGAATCATAGGGACATAAATGTGCGAAACGCTACTTTCGATGTTGTGTATGTGTGGAGATTGAATATAACCTACCTGCTTCAGTCAGATAAAAAGTAACAATAAAAAACCAGTTTAGTAGCCACCTCAAAACATGAAATACAACGGGGTCTGTGATCTGAGTTTTCTGCACCCTTTTTCTTCGAGGCTACAAACCTGTTGCCGCTTGATTTAAACACGATTACCCTACAGTCAGTTATATTATCAATTTGGCGACAAACTGTAATGCGGCATCAAAAAAGAAGAAAAAAGAAATCACAATAACATGATACACTTCAGCTGTTGGCGAGTAATAATACGGCTCAGATAAGGGAAAAAAATATTAAATATCCGCTTAGGTAGGAATCAATATCAGTCAGTAGTGAAGCTGTGTGTGTGTGTCACTATCTGTGTTTACTTACTGTAAAGTTAGAGAATGTTGTACATTAACACGCTTAGTGTTGTTGTTGTTTTGTTTCTTTTTTCTTATTGTACGAAGCATCACCTGTTATACACATGTATTTATTGTAAACGCACAGGTAGGTGATGTTGCTGATGACGATGATAAAGAAGTAGTAGGAAAACATGTGGGGTTGGGTATGGAAAGTAGTTCGAAATAAGTTATTATTATTATATGGCGAATCCTTTCTTATTTTCCCCATTTTTTTTTAACAGAAAAAATGGAAAGACTAACTACTTTGTAAGAGTTAGTGATGTCTATGTATGTATGTATATATACGCACAGAAAACAAACCAGGTGGCAACAAAATAAGCTGTTTCCACCATTTCTACGATCCATAATAATAATAATAATAATAATGGGATGACATAGGAAATGCATAATATTAGAAAGTATGCTTTAAGAAAATAAAGTACTTCTCGTATGGCTGGTTTAATGTGATTTGTAAAGAGTTAAAATATATATAGTCATATAAACAGTATTCAGATTGCGTAACAAGAGAGAGACTGTGAATCGGAAAAATAAACTACATCCTACAATTCTGTTCTGTTAAACATTTTCACTACTACTACTACTACCACTACTGAAATGTGTCTGTTTCATCTAATCATCGTCTTTTTCACTGCTGAGCGTAAAGAACGCAGTAATTTTGGCTACCTACCATGGCCAATTTTCATCCAAATTTCTTGGATGGGGAAGCGGCAAAAAAAGAGATGAAGACTTATTGCATCACACACACACACACACAGATTGTACATAGGATGAGTAGATGGAGATAAGCACATTATTACTATCATTATCATTATTATTATTATTATTGCATAATGCCTCTGAGCTGCTGCTAACTTAGAAATTCAGCTTGAGCGCACTTTTTCAACTGACAAAGCGAAAAAAGCCAGACAACTACGACGCCTTGAAATGCCTTGTTGAAGTAGAACCTGTTTTTCTACAAAAATCACAATTTAATCAAATAACACATTTGATATACCCTACCGATGATTAAGTAATATCAGTCAACCCACAAACAGGGCCGCACTCGCGCGCACAACAACGCCAATACACGCATACACACAATGACATAGAACATAAACAGAAACCGTCTGCATAAACAGTCGTACATTGAAAGCACACTTTTGGGAAAATATTATTGATTGCTGTTTGTTTTCTTTAGGCAGAAAAAATAATAAATAACAATAACTCCTAATTTCATTCTACTTTTTTATTAAAACGGCAAACAAGAAAATCAACACTATACAGTCACTGTTATAAAAAACTAGCAGAAAGCAAATAAATTCAATGATTAAAAAAAACACAACACTTACACGATTATAAAGCGGACCAATAAGGTAGCATATAGTCGGCAGTAAGCACACAGCATTGAATAAGCAAATTAGGCTGACAATCACGATGAGACGAAAAAAGTAACTGAAATAGAAAAGTATTTTGTTTAAGAAGTAAGTAGGACAATGAAAGTGACTGACGAGAGAAAAACAAATAAACTATTTACTGCTAAATTGGAAATTCCGATTTCTTTTGAAAATAAAGTTGGCGGTAAATTTGTATTACCGTGTAAACACTTCTACTACTACTACTACTACTACATTCGAGGTCATGTTTCCGATATGCATTTAAACTTGGATTATACTGACTGCATATTCACAAAATGAAGTAGTTAAAGAAAGAAACTAAACTATTGAATCTATCTTTGAATAACCGTTCTCAGAGTATTCCATAGTCTGTTTATCATCAGTTAAGACTCGAAAATTATACCGTGTATTCACGTGATGTTTTTAAGATGCCTTCAAGCCAGTATGCAAATAAATTTGTCGAGAGAAATAAAAGGCTATCGAACAAAGGTACTGAACTGTCAATACTGTCGACCATTCCCAAATGAAAAGAACTGCTATTTTCCAGTTTCTAAGCTGACAATTTTAATATCAATACAGATAAGAAAACGTTTTGGTATTTTATAATGCACTTATTGACCCTTCTAAAGTGTATAGACAAAGAAACTTAAGTTTGTTGTGACTTTCTCAGTAGACCTGCTACATATAAGTCAAAGAAGAGAATCAAAAAGTCTGCCCAGAATGACCCATGTGGTGTTTTATCTCACAAACTATAAGTAGTCATTAGTTCTGGAAAATACTAGCATGAAAAGCAAGACACCGTTTTACATGTGTCATGAAAATACTGCTTCTACACAGTTCAGAAACTTTGGGCCCCCTTCCACGGAAAGCACTTGCAACAGATTATTGCAAACTTTCATCAACAGCTGTTACCACTCCATACTGAAGATCAGATAACAAGAAATGATCAATTACCAGGAGCTCTGATAACGAACCAATCAAAGACCTATAGCTCAACAAATATACAGAATTTCATCATGAGCTGATATTGGTTACAGAACCATCGGAAAACTAGGGAGTACTTGAAAGCTTTCTCGTCCTAGTTTCGAGCTCTTCGTTAGTACGCACTCCTACTAAGATCCTGTGGGCCACTGGATCGGGTCCCAGTGGCTTCGCTCGCCTAGTAAGCGAAACGCCCTGAGTTCGAGTTCCAGTGGATGCGTATCGTGAAGAGTGCCAAACTAAGACTCGCAGATTTTCCCTAACCGATGTCAGTTCATGATGGAATCCTGTAACCAATCAAATAAATCCCTACAAACAACCAGTTAAATATGCAGAAGAAAATGAACATGGATTGTACACACACGGTGAGAAGTTGAATGTCATTACTCTCTAGACTCTTACATATAACCCGAGTGGGAAACAAGGAGTTGGGTATCCGAAGTTGACGAGAAGAAGACCGTGTGAAGGCGAAATAAGAACTTATGGGCGATCCTGGATCCAGTGAAAAAGGGTAGCGGAGAACAGAGTGAAATGGCGTTATGCTGCTAAAGCCCTATTCTTCACTCACAAACCAAGAGAATAATAATAAATTAAAACAGAGTTTCATATATCTTAGGAACTAGTGAAAACCTAAATACTAATCAATCGATAAAGAAAAAACAGTTGAGATTTAAAGCAAAAACTGACAATGAAATACAGTTTTTGAATTGAAGAGAAGTTATTCCAAACCACAGTTATCTATTTGATGGTAATAATGATAATAATATTAAATACAGAAATAATTCAGTACAGACTTACTCAGCGATAAACTGTACACGAGCTGCAACAAGTAAAGATAATGCTAGTAACAGTCCAACGGAAGCATGGAAGGCCGGAGTAAAATGATTACTTAATATACACACAATTTGAGCTCGAGCAAGTTGACGACGTTTAGCGAGGTTAATGCGGTCTTCGTGCACTAATGAAGATGACTTCGACAATATAATCTGTTTAGGATCAATTTTCAGTCTTTCATTACGTGCACAGAACTGAGTTGAATGAGAAGGACATCCTCCATACGACAAATTCGATTGACAAAGGCAGGTTTTACGAGTTGGTCGACTTGAAAATGAATCCAAGCTTAAATGAGAAACAGGCCATAATCCAAGAAAATTTGCTGAAATTCTAGCCCCCAAACCACCAGACAATAGTAATAAACAAGCAGAAATAGGATTTAAGGCTAAATTTAAAACAATCAAACCTAAAATAGCAGAACAAGCACCGCCAACAGCACCAATACCAACTAAAAGTAAGGCAGTAACAGGTGAAGAAAATAAAATCAATGCACTGACAGTGATCACAGCACAAAATATGCCAAAAGCAACTGCTGTTTCTCGAACTATGAACATGTAGTGTTCAACAAAAGTAAATGGTACACCTGTAGGAAAGACTGGAACACCTTGAACTGTTGCAGTTTCGGTAATATGTCGAACTCGCTAGAAGATAATGAAAAAAAGATGGGAAAAAAATAAACAAAATAAGTCATGATACTGAAATATTCATTTGTAAGGCGTGAATAACAATCAACAAATCAACGTTGCTTTCCATAATAAATGTCAATTTAACACAATCACAATATGATGAAAGTTAAGATGATGTTTGAAACAATCAACTTTCAGATTTACTAATTGTACTTGTTCATTGTGAAGCACGTCAATTCACACCATTATTCATCCATTTAATGTTTACATATTAATATATCCGTTTCGGTCAGGACCAGGTATGTACTATAGATGGTAAGTAGATTGAAATTGGCACTGACATGAATACGCTTGCACGATATCCACCATTAACGAAAATCATCTGAAAATTTTGTCTTAATCTGAATGACACCCAGTTAGAAGCATCCCCAATTTCAATAGGTGTGTAGAACTTCTTACTACTATAGAGAATTACAGTAAGCGTATAAATAATCTTTGACTGGATCTCATTAGGTAGGGATAAACGAATGACTTGAACAAAAAAGCATAGTATAAGCATTTTAACCGATACCTAACAGTTAACATGATAAAAGCATAGCATTGACACATACATTACGCAAATTAATGTTAAGTTGAATAGACTAATCACCTGAACTAAATCCAGCTGTGAATCCATTTCGCTGACACCTACTGCATAAAAGCTTGTTTGAACAAATTCAATTGGTTCAGCTGGAGGTAATGCATGTAGGTCTGAAGGACGTCCAGGACCAGTAAGACGACCTACATGCACTATACTAGGTTCTGGATAAATTACACAAGGCAGCGATGAGAAGTTCAAAGCATCTTTGGATCGCCATACACGCAAAAGTGTATAAAAAGCTGGTGGATCGATTATACCGCCATGAACTATTCGACCAGTGTTAATCTGTATGAAGAATTAAAGAATAATATCATTAGATATGATAGAGAAGATTTGTAGCTCAGGTGGATGATTTTGATGTGGTTTTGTTCTCTGAGCTGGATGGTTAGTTTGCGAAGCTTTCATCACCTTACTGGGTGACATCTTCAGCGCATACTTCAATTTGAAGTAAGGTGATGAAAGCTTCGCAAACTAACCATCCAGCTCAGAGAACAAAACCACATCAAAATAATATCATTAGAAGTATGAATTAATCAACAGAAATATATTAAAAATGTATGTATGTATGCATGTATTATACTTACCCTACTTAATTCAGGTCCCCGATCAGTTTGAACAATTAAACGTAGACCAAGAACACCAAGTTCGCTTGCATTAGCATTCCAGTGTCCACTATCCATAATGTAGCCTTTTTCTCGGTCTATGTCGAATGCAGTTTGCACCTCCTCTAACCAATTACGCATTGCATTCAACCAAACATCACGTCCTGATAACATAACACCTGAAATATCGGTCAAACAGTCATACATCCAACGAAGACGACGTTGTTGCATAGGAAAGTCTATTCCGCGACCAACAGTAGCCATGCTTACACGAGATCTAGCAGATGTTCCGCTAAGAGTTGACGGAGCAGTATATTGAAACACCGGCTGACTTGACACTGGCCTAGATCCAGGAAGATCTGAACCTCGTGCAATTATGTGAAAATTACTTAGACCAAAAGCTTTTCCAGCTGTTTTGATAAATCCGTATTCAACAGTATCTGAAGGTGTTAAACTTGACCAATCCAAACCTAAGCGTAATCGAAAGGTGGCACAAAGCACAGCTGCACTAAATAAACCACAACCCAGTAAACATACACATAATTGTACAACCCAATGACTAGTGATCAGAAGCGCGAAATGTCTAGCAAATCGTACAAATAGTGGAGAAGGGAAGATTTTTGTTGAGTCTACGCCTGGTTCAGATTTATTCACATTCTTCTGTTGATTCCTTTGAATTGACACTGGTGTGTCGTTTTTATAGGCAACACAATCATTTTCACACTGAAAAAGAAATAAATAAAAGTTTTGAACCTAGAATATCTTATTTGAAATCAAGAAATGCATTCAAAACAAACGCATTTTTAAATTTTGCTGATGATAAGTAAACCCGAAAGGGTCAGACAGACACTCCGCATATAGTTGAATTCACATAAAGATTACAAACGAAAATACCTCTAATGAGCTCAGAAATACGCTCCCGACACGCCTGGAGAGAAAAAAAACGTTACCGGTAAGATCAACTGACTGAGCTTTCAACGGGGAACTTTACACATAGAAGTGCAGTGTGAAGCAGTTTAAATTGCCACAATTGATAGAATACGCAGAGGTAATATAAAAGGAAATTCAAAAGAACTATAACAGAAAGCAGGGCTGATGCAACTACTCACTGAGGTAGGATTACCGAGACAGACAACTTCAAAATGATTTTGATCATTCAAATTAGTTACATTTCACAGACTGATGAACCAGGTAAACAAATATGCTATTTTGATCCAATAATTCATTGACAAATTGGTCCGTGGTCATCTAACTAACTAACTGTGTTGCCAATGAACACATGTGTTTTTCTTATTGCTGACCATCAAATTATTCGACTTATAATTGATGATTATGTACATAGAATATTCTAAATTAGTAGCCAATAACAATATTAGTGTTTTTTAAGTAATATCGGACCAAGGAGTTTAACATGTGCGCGAGTCATTGGGCTTTAGGAAACCCAAAGGTGCAGTGAGGGTACAGGTTTGGCTGAGGTGAGATCCTGTTGTTTTGCTCATTAATTCCAAGCTGCGAGCAACAGGCGCATCACCGGCCAGTCCCATGACGTAGACATGTGGCCTTTTGCTATGTGCACCGTCGGGACGGAGCAAGAGCGTACATGTTGAGACCAAAAAGATGGTGAACTATGCTTGCGAAGCTTGAAGCCAGAAGAAACTCTGGTGGAGGACTGTAGCGATTGACGTGCAAATCGGTCGTATAACGTGGGTATAGGGGGCGAAAGACTAATCAAACCATCCAGTAGCTAGTTCCCTCCAAAGTTTCCCTAATGATAGCTGGCATTCTGAGATATAAACAGTTTTATCATGTAAAGGGTTTGTGTGCGTTCAAAAGAAGTTAGTCGAGACATTATTCTTACCTCGGCCATCTAGGTTTGAATGATCCTGAATTTTTGTGAACATTTTCCCTAATTTTAGTTGATCTTCTATTTGCCACTATATCTTTATTATTATTATTATTATTTAAGCATCTTTAATGAACCGTAATTGCATTGATCTTACCTTACAAATCGTTATAGTTGACGAATTAAAGGGTAACAAACAAACAAACATATTTAAGGTTTTCACCACTTAACGTCAAATTAACTGGAACAGACAACATACGAGATATGCATAATGAAGAAGACCTCTTTCTCTCATCACTTCTGCTCACGGAACCATCAACCAGATAACACCTTTAGCCGACATACTTTACGAACAGCTTATAACCAGCCGGATACATAAAATTTTCTCTGCAAGGTAACTTAACTCTCCTACTAAGGTACAATATATTCATATTTTAATGACGCAAACAGAAAAGCAGCGATGATAACAAAAGGTTAATATTATTCTTTTAACACAAACGTGATTAGTTACCTTGCTAACAAAATAATAATATGCAGGATTTTCAGATTATAATATACAGTAGAATGCTAGCTAACTATCGCGTGTGTACCTATTAATACACTTTCATGTATGTGCAAAGGTGCACACACACACACACACACACACACCGGAATTATTTATTGTATCTAAACCAAACATAGAAATTCGATCGATGAAGAAAAAAATTAGCAGAAGGTAAAGAACGACCGATACTCTTTTTGAACCAATGAAAATATTTTGTGACATTTGTTGTAGGTATCTCTGACTGGACAGGTTAGACATTTACGCTGTTAAAAACTTATACATATACTGATGTTAAAAAAAAAAACTTTTTTTCGTCTTTATATATATATATATATATATATATATATAATGTCGAAGTAGACAGTCATCTTTGCTGGGTGTTGATATTCAAACACACTTACAAACACACACGCATATATACGTGTAGTTTATACAACTGAGGAAAGAAAAACATTGACGCTATCATCAACACCTATCTACCTACCTACCTAGCTACTTACCTACATCAGTGTTTGACGAAAGTAAAGCACAGAAAGAGTAAAGCAAATGCGGTCGTTTAAGCAGCACACATATAATTTGTAGAATTATGGGCAATGATAAAAAAAGCATCGAGTGTTTGCAAGAAAGGAAATAGCAGTTAAATAAAATTAGATGTAAACTGTTTTCAAACAAAATTAACAATCTTTGAAAGATATACACTGGAGTAGACTAATCTTGTCTCGAAAAGTATTCACACGTTGTATTTAATTGATTTTAAGATATATATATATATATATATATATATATATATATATATATATATATATATATATATATATATATATATATATATGAATGTTCCTAAGCTTCATTCTACAAAGCAGCTAACAGTGACAATTACTTAAAATGGATAACTGGGGCATACTGCACAAACTCTACTAGCCAATCAGTGTCGCATATTATAAACTAGTTAGGACACTGAATTATGTCAGAGTGTGCTTTCACTAAATCCGATACAAAACTTCATCCAGTTATTCAGGATACCATAAGCTGTTTATCCCTTCAATTGTTGTCCAACAGCTACAGAGTTTTAATTAATTTCTCACTGGCCATTAATTATTCATTCATTCATTCCAAGACATCACATTAACTACGGATATTCTTAGACGAGTAGACAGAGATGTACGTTTTTAACTTGATTCCTGGTTTAGTATTGCACTGAAAGTGATTCAGATTTACAGGGAGTATCAGCACAGAAATTATCAACACTAGATAATTGTTTCAATTTTGTTAAAACAGACATTGACACATTAAAGAAGGTAAAAGAAGCGGGAGAAAAAAGAAGTTGGATATAATACCATCGAAGATCGGTAAAGACAACATATAAAGAAGGCAAACCAACTAGGGAGATAAAAACTTCAAATAAAAAGGAAGATAACTGACTGAGCTTCAACATGGAACAGTGCACAGAAGTGCAGCAGTTCAAGTTGCCAAGTTCCATGTAACACACAAAGGTAGAGAAAAAAAACAAAATTAGGAGAACCATAATGAACACAAAAATGCAGGAGAAGGAATAGAAGAGCATGAGAATTTAGTGAATAGTAGAGATTGCATTGACGCCATTAAGAACGATTTCGAGCCAACATTCTCCGGAAATCGGTTCTCGGAAACATGAGGACCTCAACGTGGCAGTCTACACCTCCCTATTTGGTTGAAACCAACTGTCAAAGACTTCATGGATTGATCCTAGGTGTCAGTTTGACCACCCCAAACCTTCTTCCAACCCAATTTCATGTCAGATAAAATTGCTCGACATGCATCACACGTGTCTTAGCCAGAGGAAGATAAGTTCAATTTGCATTAACAGAAATTAAACAATGACAAAAAAATACATAATTCTAAATTTTTCAATTCCTAAACTCTCTTCAAGAAACAAACCTCAGGAACTGTCAGTTTTTCAGCACCAACAGAAGAGCTGGATGGATAAATTTTTTTATCTTGATTTCCAGTTACAGTAACTGTTGTCTGTACCGTATGAACATCAGGGTTAGCAATCGTTTTAACAACTGCTTCAGTAACATCACTATCAAAATGTGAATTGGATGATGAACGCTTTGGTCCAGGCAGATGATTGACCACATTTACTTGTATTGTTGGATGTGGAAACTTAGAACTAATATATGTCTCTGCTAAATTAATCGAAATATCACGGTTAGTTGTTAATTTTTTGGGATTTGTACAATGACAATGCCGACAATGACGGTGATGATGATGATAATGATGATGGTGATGACGATGACAACAAGCAGGCGGATTTTTATTACTTGAATGATGATTCAATGTTCTCAAATGACGTGATTCACAATGACAAGTTGTAGCCGACCTGTGAGAATTTGTCGTTATCGCTGTCTCCACATCTGGTTGACGTAGACAACACAGGACATCTAAACGCTTTTGACTACGACGAGTGGCGTCAAGTTGTAATAAAGCCGGGAATAGAATAAATACACTGATCGACTGTACAAGAGTAAGAATACCAGCCTGTGGAAATGAAAGTATAAAAAAAGTATTTCAATTATAATTAATGTTCACATAGATAAAAAAGTGTCATTATTTCATCTGAGTAATTGTAAGTTATCGAAACCATATATATTCTACCATAGGATTAAGTTACACGCACACCATATTTCTAACAGTGATGCTATGAAAATGCATATGACACACTAGTTGTTGACACTGTCTGTCTGTCTGTTTCCGACAGAGAACTTCGTACCGATGTGCTGCAGTTCAAGTCGCCACACTTCCTCCATGTACCACACAAAGCAAGAGAAGAAAGTAGAAGAAGAAATGCATAATAGGGATAGTAAACAGAGGTGTGAGACAAGGGAATAGTAATGAAGAAGAACAATAGAGTTTCATCGGAAATCATAAGTGTCACAAGGAGTGGATGCATCTGCGCCATATCACACCAATTGTTTCCAGCCATTGGTTTTTACCGTCCCGAAGATCCCAATCAAGAAGTCTACACCTTCCCATGTGAATTAAACTGTTGTAGATTTCATTGTTGATACATATTCCTTTGGGACAGGCAACATTCAAACCCGTTTCAGTAACAACATTCAATTGTAATGCCAATGCGTTCAGCAGGGAAAACTATGCAAAAAAAACAGAAATTAAACAGGTGTGTGTCCTGTACTTTACTCTTAATCATCACAATCAAAATAAAGCCAAAAACTGTTTTTTTTTCTTCTTTTGCTAAACTTGGATTTACAGATAATGTCGGGGAAATTCAACTTTTGATTGCATCTATTGCTTTTATATTACATGGATAAAGATAGGCTATATTGCTAGACAAAGAAATGGATGTTAGTGTCCGAAACTTGTGACAGAAGACCACCAAACTTGACAGAAGTATTTTCAACCTACAGCTAAATTAAAAGAGGTAATTAGGTAGGTAGAAGAAGATTTTCTCAAGCGTGTGTGTGTGTGTATGTGCGTTCGCATATTGAAAAAGTGCAAAAGTTTGTGTGAATCAAAACTGTGCGGTAGGCCATGTATATCACATAGTAAATTAGTTGCCATATTATATTATATTACATTATATACGACAGTTTAACAAATGAATTTCTGAACTGTTGTTTATTTGTACGAAAGAGACAGATAGATAGAGAAGAAAGAAAGACTTAAAAAACAAAAAAGATAAGAGCAGTGTTCTTAACAATGAACCAATAAGAGGTAAACACAACACACAGGGTGGTCTTTGTATTCGAAAAGCAGTTGAAAGGAGAAAGATGCGACTTTGTAGCAGGTATTTAAGTAGATTTGATATAAACTTATGTCTTTTCTGTTCAGACTGTAATCTCTATGTTACATTAACATTTTACAATGCCCCACACAGAATGAATAAATAAATGAATTTAAGATTTTATATTATAATATAGTGGGTGGTCTAGATACGAATTCTCGTGTGGTCAAAACTATGCAGCACATTAGTATACAAATACACTGTATATATGCATATATATTGCACAATATCACAGTTGTTTCCAAACTGTCTTCAGGGTTTCAAAGTGGTAGGGGACAGGACATAGGTAAAAAAAAAGTTCCTTTTTTCACAGTTAGATCAGTGTACAGAAACAAAAGAAAGTAAATTGTTACATACGTGAAAGAAGGGGAACTACGTAAAATAATATACATGTACATATATATATATATATATATTCACACTTTAATAATATTGCTACACTCACCTGTAAACAGAACTGACGTATTAATGGGACAGGGATAAATGCAGCAGAGAAAAAAGCACTAGAAATAGAAATTGCACCGAAAATAAGAGTGGGACCATGTACAGCTAATACATGAACAGGGGGAGCAGATGACTTCGATGACCAAGAAGACAAAGATACTGTTGAAGACCAAATAGCCTAAAATCAAAAAGATGAATAGAAAAATGCATTGAGAGAGAGAGAGAATACCTCCGCAGTGTTAGCTAGTAGTAATGGGTGAAGACTACTCATCATCTAAGTAATCCATTCATAAAAAGAAAAGATCACACAGCATATTTGACGCTAATATGCAAGTATGTCTTCGTGACAGAAATACTACGCTTCTTCATTTCGCGGCTGATACACAGAGAAACCATGCTTAGATTGTAGTAAAAGCCAGAGAAAGAGAGAAACCTGAGTGTGAGGTTAGCAACTCCCCCCCCCGTACGAGTAACAGTGCTACTGAAACAGTAAAGCTTAAACCTCGGAAATCTGGAAATAGAAAAAACACAATTCTCAACTTCCCCTAAGACGGAAGTAAGCATTGCAAAACGCCGAAGAATGCAACGCCCTTACTGTAATAAAATCACTAGATCTCACAAACCTACACAACCAAATTAGAAGTATAAATATAAAAATGTGTAAAATAATAAGGAAGTTATTCGTCTTATTGAACTGTTGATTACACATTTTTGAACTAAATAATTGACAAACAGTAATAGTAGTAATAGTAATAATAATAATAATAATAATAACACAATCACAAGCTATAAATCATATACACTAATAAAGCCCAACGTTTTTATGTGTTTTAGTGATTGTTTCAGCTAGATTTGTTTTTCCAATCAATTTCTAGGTTTAAATGCCACCTGAATAATACAACTGCAGTTAAGTATTATTATTATTACTAGTAGTAGTAGTATAGCAGTAGCAGTGGTTGTAGCACCATGATATGATATTGGAAACCAATTACTAAGCATAAATAAACAAAATTAAACCTTTGCAAACAAATCGCAACTGTTTCTTTAAAATAAAAACAGCTTCGAATCCTCTGATCATTAGACAATGAACATTATACAATAAGTTGATAGAACTTCACAGCTATATCATTCAGTAATTGATATATATATATCGGTTAGATTACTCAGAAGACACACACATTAAAAATGTAAGTGCCGAAAATCCCCTCTTTTTCCGAAAAAGAAAAAAGTTGAGAATACAATTTTGTTTAGTGTAATGAAAAGAGAGAGAAAAAAAACAAGAGAAAACTTACTGAATCTGAAGAAGATGGACTAGTTGATGGGACAATACGACGAGCAATGCAACATTCATGACAAGTGGTCAAAACAAATATGCCATCGACGCCCAAACCAAGAAGTAAAAAAGGCAACACCTGTATAACAAACAGCAAGAGCATACAAGAAGATTTATTTTCCTGATTTTGAAAGAGAGCAACGGTTATGATAAGTATTAAATATAAATGTGTGACACCAAAAAGCATAACTGCATTATGACAGAATTTATAATAAAGTTTTCGCTTTAGTGCATTTCAATGAGTGAACAAATCACTCCAACCAACATAAACTATTTCCTGACTGGTCATTGTTAACATAAGATCAGGACTTTGCATTTATCTTCTCCTAACATCTGTACGCATCGGTGGTGCAGAGATAGAATGCTCGCTAGCCAATCACTCAGGTGATCCAGGGTTTGATTCCCAACCACTGACGCACTCTCTAACCTCGCTTAGCTGGTAATCAACCTGAAAGGGAGAGAAGGCTGTCGTCCTAGACAATATCTTCAGCGCAGGTTTTAGCAAGAGTGTAGATAATCAAAAGTTAGATTTCCCAAGTTTTTAAAAAGAAATTTGGCTTTATACTGATTGTGATTAAGAATGAAGTATAGGACACTTGCACTGAAGTGATCCCGAAGAACAATGAAAGCTTCGCATATTAAGTTAACCAGCCGAGAGAACACAATTAAATCAAAATCGTTCATCTGAACTTCTCCATTATTTCAAAATATAACACACTATTGAGAGTACTTTAGCCAATATTGATTGTATATGGCGGTTTTGCTAGGCCATTCAAACGCTTAATTATTTATGAGTTAGCTTAAATTTAGACGCATTTTTTTTTATTCTAATGTACTTCACACTAGCCTAACAATATACCGTGATACTCTCAGTTGTCGATGACTGTTAATTAAGCGGCATATTCATTTTAGTTTCAACAACTGATAATTGACTGAAAATTCACAAAAGATATAATAATTAAAAAAAAAAACTATAATCATTTGATGCATTATTTTTTGGTACTGTTAAGATTTAAATTTTTTTTAAATTACTTAACAATCTCACCTGAATAGTTAATACATTGAACGGTATTCCAAAAGCTGCACAAATCCCTAACCCAGCTATGGATGATAATGCTATGATCATTAATCCACATATAGCCAACCAACACTGAGAGCGAACAGGATCTCGCCAACCAAGAAGACTGACAACACCATAAAGAAACTAATAAGGCAATAGGAGACAAAAAAAACAAGGAAAGAATTATGCAAGTGTTCATAGAACACTGGACAGAAAAGCAAGTCTGCCTATATGCATATAATATAAGTGTGGAAGATAGATAAGATGGTATATATATATATATGAAAGGGACAGGACATCTTAGTCACATGATGACGGATAAGTCAATACTATCTTTGAATGACAGCTGAAGGTATGAAAAAATGAATAATGCATACTAGAGTAAAGCTGTTTAGTGGCTATATAGCTGTGTTGAATGATTAATCATTATTATTATTTTCTTTTTTCTATTCTGTCAATCTGTGACTAGTGAATGCAGTGATAAAATCTCTGTATATGCCAAACAGATGTAAGTATTAGCAAAAAACACCACGGAAAACAGAATCCAACTACTTTTTTTGGTTAACAAAATGAAAAGAAGGTACGCCAGCATCAATAAGTATTTCTGCTTCGTCCAGCCATATATATAATACTCGATAATCAAAAGGTTGATTGATAAGCTGACATATTTACGCAGGATATCAAATGGATTATTCACATAAGAAATAACTGAGTGTGTAACACTATATAACTTATATAAACGGCCTAACACTGTTTCTAAAGTGTTTTTAGCTCACTTCATTTACAAGGTAAGGTATCTCCAAGACACCATCATAGCTTACCCCACTTAGCAATGATGCCAAAAAAAAGATGGATATACAATTTAAAAGTAGAACGCCTTATCTGTAGGTGTTAGATTAATATTTTCATAAGTATTAACTTTGAACGGTTAATTAATAGTTGTTTTCACACACAAACATACATACAAAAAAAAGAGAAGAGCAAAACAAATCCCAACAGTAAATATAACTGCTGAGTGGCTTAGTTTCCTATGTAGGTAGGACTTTGCATAACAGTGTAACTAACACTTCAAGTTATTATACTACATAAAGCATACATAAATGTAAAGGGAAAAAATACTTTTTTTTAAATAGAGGAGATTAATAATAAACGGAGGTGTACAGAAAAAAGAAAGAAAGCGGAAAATATGAGATTTAATGGATGTGGGAAGTTAATCTAACATGCAAGGAAGATGTGGAGGTTCGAATACCAAACAAACCACAATGGGAAAGAAGTCTATCTTAACTCAACTTCAAACAGATGATAATATTGCAAGAATAGTCAACAGAAGATTGAATACCTCACCAACACCAACTAAAACACATACTGCAGCTAAGTAGGATCTCGTTTATCGGGCAGCATCCTCTTTGGTGTAATCATAGATACCCTTCTAACTGTGTATACGAATTGATATGTATCAGTGGAAGCAAGACAGAAAGAAGGGCGTACCTTCGATTTTCTGAATATGAACCAAAAAGGAAACCTACGTGTCAAGAGAACAAACGCTCACAACAGTGCCAATGCCAGACAATTCATCAATACGGTTTAGGAAGTGGATATAGCAAAATCCTTTGAAATTATCAATAGATAAAATAGTTCAATTCACCTACAGTTTGACGAAGCAATCGCCATCAAACACTTGAAACAGAGTTATCAGTCTCTCCTTGCCCAGGTAACCAGATGTCTTTGCTGTTCCCTACATTTGATTGTGTAATCTTTGGCTTTAATCTCCCCCTCCCCTTCGATATGGTGTGAATTATCCTGTCTCTTGTTTCTATGATTTGAGTTGGACTCATCACATCGCTACTCATAATCTAATTCCCCTCTTATCGTAATTATATAACTTTTGCAATTGTAAGCAACTATTTATTTTTCTATAAACTCAAACTTCCTGGGCATAAGTCATACACGCATAATTTCTGAGCACTGTTTATTAAGTCTGGAGTCACCTGTCAGCCGAGATCACGTCACCATTCGCAAGTATGTTAGGCATTTTCTGCGCATAAACTTCATAATTTCTCTAGGCTGTACTCAGTCGATGAAAAGCCAACAAAATAAATGATGGTACCGTCTTATTCTGCACAAACCACTGTTGTTCTTGCTTTATTCTGATTCATAAAGGGGAATAAGTGTATGAAAAGTTAGTCACTTTAGTCATCATTTGGACTTTTCTTATAAGCTTAGTAGGGGAATATACGAAGAAATGTTGTCAGTGTAGTCAAAAGCAAATAAAAAAAAGCTGCATATATACTTGCTTGGTATGTAGACTAGCTATTAGATGGTAATTGTTAACGGAAAGCATAAAATGACAATAATGCGGTGAGACTCTAAGTCAGCATGACCTAGTATCCATTAAGCCAGAAATGCAAACAAATGCTTAGAGAGAACAAAACGCATAATTTTGTTTGTCGATTGTCACAATTTGAATGATCTGTATCCCGACAGTGCCGGTTCGGAAATTACTCACAACAAGTGTAAAAAAGAGAGACTAATTTTGTTAACCAGTGATAACAAAAACAAAATTCCTGAGTTTTCAGTTACTCATTTCAATATGGAGGTGTATCTCAACTTTATGTTACTTATAGAATAGAATTACAAATGTAAAAATAATGAATCCAAACAGGCTTATAAGGAGGGATGTGAAATCATGTGATACTGCCCAACTGTCCAGACAGTGTTATAGATAAACTTCAAATTAAAAGTAGATGACTTCCAACATTACCACTAGCTTCTACTTTTATGTGTGATAACCCCGCTTCCATACCGCGATGATTCCATTTGTACTTTCTGGAATGATTGTTTCCAGAAGTACTAATATGCTAGAAATATTATACAGGTAGTTGTTAGGCCGAAATTAATTACCAGTACAGGTTAGGTTATTTACAGCATGGCAGGGATGTTGGAGTAAAGTTATGCTGTCTAGTAGCAAAGGAAGTAACAGAAGCAGTTCGTATAAGACGGTAAGACCATTTTCATGGACGAAACTCTACCACTAGAAAACAGGCTTTGTGCAACCGACCTCAAGCAATTGTCCACTTGGCGGTACTTGAGAAGATATCAGCATCAGAAGTGTAGATAGGCGGAAGTAACAGCCGCCCAAACACTTCCATTCTCCCCATCCTCCAATTTCCTGTTTTCACTACACTAATATTATTCCCTAGAAAGTTTCTTCGCTACCGGCTAACTGTGCTACTATTGTTAGCGAATTCAACCAGAAACACATCGTTCGCACGTTCTTATAGCTACTCTGATAATTTAAATTCATCGAGGTTAATCTAATTATTCCTTTTCTTATGCTCCTTCTTATGGTGTAATTCCATAGTATTTCTTTTCTCTGCTTTGAACTGTGTCTGACTAAAAGCGTGATAACCTAAACTGCCACACTAGCGTGCAAATTTCCACGTAAATAAGTCAATCAGTCCGTGAACACATATTTAATTTGTTGAGAAGGATTTCTTGCGCTGAACTGTCTGTCTGTTTTCAACATAGAACTTTGCACCGATGTGCAGTCGCCACACTCCATGTATCACACAAGGAAAGAGAAGAAATAAGAAGAAATGCATAATAAGGATAGTAAACAGAGGTGTGAGACAAAGGAATAGTAATAACGAAAAACAATATAGTTTTATTTGGTATTATAATTCACAAAGAGTGGATGCATCTGCACCAGCCAGCCATTGAGAACGATCACTTTGAGCCAAATCACAAATTGTTTCCAACCAATGGTGTTTACCGCCCCGAGGACCCCAAACAGTCAGGAAGTTTACACCTTCCTACGTGACTTAAACTAACTTTTGTACATTTCATTGACTGGTGCTATGTTTTGGTTTGACCGTCGATAGCTCTTTTCCAGCCTGACCCTATGTCAGGTGGCTAACACTGGCCATTTTCGAAGAAGGCGATGGATGGCTAGGCATGTGTAACACATGTCCTAACCACCTCAGTCGATATAACTTCACAGCCTCGTCTATTGATTTCCCCTCTTTACCTAGAACTCAACCAATACCTAACCTCAATATTGCTCACCTTATTATACCACTTAACACAAGAGATAGAACGCAGGCACCTATGATCAAAGACAGCTAGCCAGCCTTTCCATGTCTTCCACTCTCAATGGCCAGGTCTCACAGCCATAAAGGAGGACAGAGCGGACTCGTGAATAGTACACACGCCCTTTGGTGTGTGAACTATGATTAATGGATATATATTCGGTATGATTCAAACTTCAGCAGAAACATTCAACAGAAAATTTTATTTACAAACAAATGAAAACAATAATTCTTTATTAAATAACCTGTACAAAAATGAGACAATTAATGACGATATATATATATATATAGCACTTACCACCATTAATATGCAGCCAACCAATGTGATAGGCCCTAGACGAAGTGTAATCTCTTGCAAGAGATCGAGCAATGAAGCGTTAGTAAATGCAAAGAATTTCCATTCAATATGCGACTGTAAACCACTGTTGTGTTCAATCACCAGCTATGAATGAAGACATTAAAAAAAACATTTAAACGGTAAAAACAGATAACATTCTATTTGATGCAAAATATCTTCCGATTAATGCCATACATGAGCCTGAAAGTACTCTTGACATCAGGAATATTTCTTTACTTGAATGTCAATCGAAAAGTCTTCTGTGAATGTGTCTTTTGCTGAAAAGCACGTATTGCGCATATCTCCTTACTGAAGGAGTTCAGTAACAACTTAAAGCTGGGTATAATGACACGATTTAATATGAATGTCCAGCTTAAGCAGTGGAAAATAAAACAGAAAGTGACTTCAGTTTTCTTTATTACATCATCATACATACCCTCGTGTGCACTATTCTCTTTAGCATTTTGCAGTCATTAGAGGTAATAATGAATGATAATTTCAACTTTTCGAATCCGTTCAACTAAAAATTCAGATAACATTGATCATAGATTTTAGTAGCCCAATTACAATACCGGATAGTAAAATCACTTCAATACAATTTCATAACTATTTAGATTTTCAAAAGTTCATTGAAATAAAAAATAAAATATACCACTTACACGTTTTAAATTACGTCTCCACTCGCGTAAAACATGCCTAGCATCGTCTAATGTCCAGTCTTCATGTTTGTAAGGATCACTTCTTCTAACTGCATCGTACAAATCTCTTGGAGATCGTAACAAAATAAGCGATTGAAGGAATTAGCTTTCAGCAGGCGACCACTTTTCAGCATATTTTGCTTGCTTTTGTTCATCTCACTGAATGAAACCTTTTTCATCACATGTTCTAACTTGGTATTATTTTTATTTGTAACTGCTGACACTTGTTGTGTGTCTGCACTGGAAGATATGTTCAAACTATCAATAGAGTGAACCCGACCACCTACAATTATCTCCTCTGGCCAATGAAGCATTTTGGAGGCAAATCCAGAACAACCACCACTGAGTATCTTAGATATATCTGGAGGCTAGTTAAATAAATAAAACAAGGCAATTGTTTTAATTAGTCGTAAGCAAAGTGCTAAAAATAATAACAAAAACCAATGAAAATATTCTCTTTATTTGAATGTGAAAATTTAGCAGCCTGGGATTGGAAACAACTATCACCCCAACCACCACCACAACCACTCTCGGCTCCCGCATCAAAAGGCATTCACAGTTGTCTTACAACACTCTAATGAGAAACCTATTCTTCAATTTTTGTTGTTGAAATATTTCTACCTTTCCAATTTAATCTAACTAGAAATTTAAAAAAAAAACAGACATCGACGACCTATGAGAAAATTACATCGTCTTATAAAAATAGTATAATTGAAAAAGAGAACTATGTCATGCATACTTTGTAAATGAAAGAACCATCTGCTGTTAGCCCATCAAAACTACAAAAACTACAAAAGACAATTAAATTACAATTATCTATTCATACCTACAATATATGAGAATTATTCAACAGACACATTATAGATAGATTACTAAAAAAGGCACTTTTAAGAGCTAAATCCAATTAAATGCACTTCAGTTTGTACGGTTGTTCATCATCCTTACCATTTGGAATTTCACGAATATGAATTTACTTCATATTTAAAGAAGAGAGAAATGGTTATTACACAATAAGTTATATAATAAGAAGTCTGTCAGTAGTTGAAAACGCTCACCTCCCCTTTGTAATTAGGAGCAGAAGTTGGGCAGGCAGGATCTGATGGATCCAAACAAGAACGATTTAAATAACCATGATCTATGCCTGCTTCATGAAATAAATTAATTAGATTTTTAATTTCAGTTTGTGAATAATTTCCATAACGTTTTGAAAGATCTTGAAGTAATCCAACAGGGTCAATATTTGTCCATTGAAGTAGAGTACGTTCATCGAACCTATTCGAATAAATGCATAATGTCAATACATTAAATAGGAAAGTAATCCACTGTCGAAGTAATTCAACAGATTAATGAAATAAGATTTATTATGGGGGTGAAAATTTAAAGGTGGTAGTTTTCTCGGATGTCTTTTTGTTTTTTTTTCTTTACATTCCTTTCCCCGTTGCAAGTGGAACATAGAGCTTTAAGCTTGAGCTCTGAATTTTCAGTAGCGAGGCGTTTTTTACGAGGTGGGGTTGTTAGTGCGTCGGTAGCACAGTGTTTAGGACGCTCGCCGACCATGCACATGGTCCGGGGTTCGATCCCATGCCGACGCACGCCTGATATCTATGGTCGGCCTGCGAAATTTGGGCTACCGATATCACATGCTGAAAATTCCATACCTGTACCAAAAATACAGTGTGGAATCAAGCTGTAATCAAAAAAAAAATAACACTCAGGCTTCCCTCTTTACCGGACTTACCAGCTGCAAAGAGAGAGTTTTAGGAGTGAGTCGGCAGGGAACTGAACCTGGATCAAGGACGTGGTTGGCGAGCATTCCAATATCGACACATCAATGCATTTTTCTCGGATGTAATTCATAATTACACCAGCATACGCTGAATATGAGTTTGACTAAACCATGACAACTTTTACAAAAGATTTAATGCAGCAAAGAAATAGTGTTTTTCGATGGTTTGCGATGTAAACACATGCCACTTGATATTAACTTATAATTTAGTCAACTGATTCGTCTCTTTAATTTATTCTCTATACCCAACTGACATTATTCTGTCAATAAGTGAAGACTTAGCTCATTAGCTATAATACTTGACTTCTGACCAGAAAGGTTGGTATCATCAGTCTTTCCACTATGGGTGAAACTCACGGCCTGGAAAATGAAAAATCTATTGCGGATAAGTGAATTCCAACAATATTTACGTGATTCGTGAGACATGCCCGCTCAACATCCAAATTTTATTGGAAGTAGGATTTATAAAGAAAACAATAAACGATGCCCACACCAGAACGTGGCACGAGTTTATGATGCCATAGACTTTCGGTCTGAGTAATGCATATAGGTGTAAATTAGCTATCTAGAGTCCATGTGGCCGCTAAAACTTAAATTTGGAGATTCTAGGGGTAGCGTGGCTGAGACCTGAACACATCAGTGGGGATGAGTTGATATACCTTATTTTCACCGCAGTTGTGATACCATACTTCTCCACAACCCGCGCATCTCTTATTCCCACCTCACAACACATTCTACGATTTTTTGATTAGGTAATTTCTATTTCTCCTACTTGATTGACGGCAAAATGATGCATGACAACTTAGACTGTTATGGTAGTAATCTACATTCTGCGTTGATTTTTTCAACAAGAGTGAAAAGAGTATAACAACTATCGAATAATGAATGAAACTTTTAGCTTTTCGAATCTGTTCAACAAAAGCAACTAAAAATGTAGATGGCAAGAATAGCATATCACCTACATCTATAGAAGAGGAAAATAATTGTTTGTCTTTCCTAGACATGTTGTTTAGTCGACGGCTTGATGGGTCACTAAAAAGATCTATTTATAAGAAACCTATCTGGCCAGGACAATATCTAAATTACCACAGTTTCTGCCCAGTTCGGTACAAAAGAGCCTTAGTAAGGTGCCTCTTCAGTAGAATCCAACGAATATGCACTGAAGACACACTTGATGAAGAAGAAAGAAAGTTGACACAAACTCTGGTTGATAACAATTATCCAGAAAAGTTCATCAGGAGATATAAAGTAGTCAGAACACCAAGACCCACTCTCCAACTCGCCCCTAAGAAAGACGTGTACATCAAGATACCCTGTATGGGGCATCATAACAGCTTGATAACTAGACAAAGACTGAACGCTGCTGTTAAAAAAACTTTTTATGCAGTTAATATCATAATAATAGAGAATGTAAAGCCAATATATCTATCTAAGCCCTTCAAACATGCGAAAAATGACGTCACATCCCACTGTATTTACCAATTTGAATGTACGTGTGGACACACATACACAGGGAGGACTCATCGATCTCTGCAAGTAAGGGCTTCAGAGTATATTCCTAAATGGCTTCAGAAACAAATAGAATCTTCAGAACCCATTAATAGTGAGAACAGGAAACCTAGCTCCTCTATTGCGAAACATATTATAGAGACAGGACATAAAATTGACGTTAACACATCTTTTAAGCCTATCTATAAAAAGTGTTTGGGGCGTATCCTAAAGTTTGTGGTAAGCCCTGGTAATTAGAAAGTTAAAACCACCTTTATGCGTTCAAAAACAATTCGTCATCACACTAAACCTTTGTTTTAATACCATAACAGATGTGCTATTACCTATGTTATTTGGTTTAGTGGTCTTCATTGTTATTGTGACCTTCAATATGTTCTTTTAACTTGACCTAATTCTATTTTCTCACCTCTTAACTCTTTATTAATTTCATATATATTCCTATGGCAAGTCCGTGTGTGATCAGATTGTTCAAAATGTGTTGCGCAAATACATTACACGATTCAGACAAATTACGTCTTCTTATTGCTTTGTCTGAAAAATAACCGTCTTGTAGCGTTTTCTATCAAAATTAAAATCTCATAAATTATCTGATTATAAATATATTCATTACAGAATGCTCACACAAAACATTACTTGATAAAAGGAGTACAAATTTCAGACGAAATTAATAAACAGCATTTTAATTGTCAATTAGGCAGACATATATATATATATATATCATGAATTGAATGTAGCCTACACGCATTTTAAACTAAGACAATAAGTAAAAGTAAGTTAAACATTGAATATTAACCAAAATTTTTGAGACATTTAAGCACCTGCACAGATACAGGTTACTGAAAATACCTTATATTTATGACCAGGGAAAAACAAAAGAAGTGATACACAGTTGTCATGCGCATGTTGAATACAAAACATACCAATAAAATACCAGTAATATAACCATCTGGTTGACTGCAAGATAATAAACAGATGTTGAATACTCTTATCCAGTTGTGATTAACATCACAAAACCGTCTGAGCTCAATATATATATATATATATATATATATATATATATATATATATATATATATATATATACAAAACCCAACCAAAGGGTGCAGCCCGTAGGCACCAAGTTCACTAACCAAACCCTTAAACTAAACTATACCTTTTTGAAAAAGGTACATCATGAATTTCTTCATCGGAAACTGTCAACATGATATAACCATAAAATAAATACTGGCCAAGGATTATTATAGATTACTTAAAATAATCCCAGACTGTTTAAAAAACATCAAAACAAGATTTTTCCGAACATTCCTCTGTGTAAGCCACAGTTTCCTCAGCAGAATAACCCGTATATTAGAAAATACTTTGATTGGCCACTAGTTACTAAGTAGTGTAACGTGTCTAGTTCTTTTTTTGCGGCAGACTGAATTCTATCAATCAAGTTTGCAATGTGGCCACCCTTCTAAGTGGCTCAACGTCACGGTGCACTTTGAATTGTTGATACGAGATGGTTGGAGGCAGTTGGTAGGAAACCTTCGACCTAGATTTAGTGCTGGTTGGCACTCATCAGCAAGGCGTGTCTGCAACCTCAGAAGGAACTAATATCCCTTCCATGATTCCAGCCAGCGTCACCAAGTACTGCAATCAGAGACGTGAGCACTGAGCTATTCGAGCTCAGTGAAGTATCTATGGTTCCTTTCACAGTTCGTTCAAGATTGACAATAAGTATTGCTGACTAGCACGAAACCTAGGACCCGGTCATCATGCCAACTGTCTCCAACCATCTAATATGTTAGAAAATCTCCGTAATAATAATAATAATAGGATGAAGAAAATGCAAAAGCTCCAAATTAGATAAGATGTTATTCAGCACTCTAATATTAGAAATTATTACAAAAAAATGTTATTTACGGTCGCATACAAGAAAATATCAACTGCCGTTAATGAAACAATTAGTGGATAAAATTTTATCTTTGATGAAGTCACACAGCGTTAAACAGTAATATTTATTGATGACGTTGCGAGCACAATTTATAGCTTATAATCATATCGAAGGTATTCGCACAAGGAATTATAATCTACCACAGTGTCCAAGGTTTATCCTTATGTCGGAATGATTAGTGATTCAGACAGAATTGTGAAAATTCGAATAAGTAATTTTAGATCAATTAATTCAAAAGTTTATTCCAACCAACTAGTACTCAATCCGTTTCAGACGACTCCATATCTCAGGCTTCATTGCTATTCTGAAACTTGTGTTATAATTGTTCTCCAATAACATTACCGATAAGGGCCTAATAAATAAATAAATAAAGACGGTTGCAGTGATGATGCTCTTAAGGTACTCCTCCTTTGTTTAATACTCCAAGAACTTCCAATGATCAAATGGTTTCGGTAAAGTCGGTCTCTCACTTTAGATCATTTGGTTGATAACCATTCGCGAAACTCATGATTCAATTCATAAAATTAGTTGGTCAACACAGAAAATAGAAGGATATCTAAATAACTATCAAAGAAATGTTAGTCTAGGAAAACTCATTGATTCACCAATAACGATAATAATGAAACAGCAATACTTACCAAGGCACCCACATTGCTTCTTCAGGTCCAAGGACTTTAGCACCTTCCCAAAAACAATCCAACGGTGTTATTATGATGCATGGAATAATCATATCCAGATAAGCCTAGTGAAGAAAAACAGGCATGAAATATAACTATATATATATATATATATATATATATATATATATATATATATATATATATATATGCTGAATGAGAAAGGCTCAAAACTCAACGGGAATGACAAAACTTCCGAAATGACATATCAAGGGACATTCATTCAAACTATCCACTGCCAATGATTTTCACCAGTTGATCATGTATGATGCCATAAACTCCGCATTATATATTATATTATTAATCTTTTGGATTCCGAGTGGAACATAGGGTTTCAACAACTCATCTCCACTTTGTTCTATTTTTTGCTATCCTGTTCACCTGGGCCCACGATTGCCCATAGTATCTGATCTCCTCCTAGCACAATCTCCTCGATGTCACGCTCAGATGACCCACTCGTCGCTTCCCATTGGGATTCCCCTCGAGCAACGGCCTTCTTGACGTATGTCAGATCCATCTACATTTTTCCCACATCAAGTTATATATATTCAACAGAATCTAATGATGTTTTCAAGCTCACTAGATGAGCTTTTGGTAACAAAAACTTCAAAATAATCATGAATAGTTGTAGTAAAATTAAGTCCTTTATACAGCATTGTTTTTATACACTGCACCGACCCACATAAATGATATGAAGTAGTTCCTTTCAGTCAAATCACGACACCATTTGAACTTTTTCTGTATTTTTCAAAGACAATAGAGATTACTCTTAAAATAAGAGTTAAGTTTCAAACGTATAACTGAGTCTCTTTGAGAAATAACTGATCGGAAAAACATCAATACAATTCATACCTGTAAATGGTGCATTTCGACACCAAAAGGTAAGGTAGCCCGTTGACATAAGTCTTTGAAAGACCATTTGGACGATCCAACTGTTATTGTCAATCGTCTCACTTTGATTAAAAACTCCATATGATCCAACAACGCTTGAGGAGTTAAAATATTAGCATAATTATCATCTTCTGTAGTATTATTACTATTACTGTTTTTGTTAGTAAAAATGTCATTCGAGTTAATCCGTTCAGAAAATGATTGACTATTAACATCTGAAATTGTAGTCTGCAGCACAGTTTCCATACTGCCCATAAATTCACGGCTAATTAAAGATGAATCGATTTCACTTTTTGATTTGGACAGCATAGATGGAACGGAGAGCATGTCACCTTTCTCTTCCATTTCTTCTCTTTGTGATTGAAATACCATTCTGGATAATTTTGAATCCCGTGAAAAATAATACGAATCACCATACAACGATTCAACATGGATATTTTGAAGTACTTTGGTTAAGTATTTCCACTCAGAAGTAAGACGATCACTCTCTGTAATGTATAACATAAAAATGATTGAACTAATAAATTTCGCTATGAAACGCGTTAACCTGAACAAAGAATATGGAAGTGAATGTACAGCCGTCCATAGATTCTACAGAGAACTGTATTGAAGTGTTTCATCACAGTTTCCCATAACGACTCAAATAACCACTTCTGAACTAGTGAGTTAGAAAACGCATGTCTATTGTACTCAGTTCGACTGTGAACATATTTTGGCACATATGACAGTCATCACATCCTGATAAAAACATTAATGAATGGTGTGAAGCTTTTTCCAAAGAACTACTGGTATAGAAGTAACCATAGAAGTAACTGCGTCGGTGCCACAGTGGTTAGAACTCTCGCCGACCATGCACATGGCCCGAGGTTCGACCCCCTGCCGACGAACACCTAATATCTATGGTCGGCCTGCGAAATTTGGGCTACCGATATCACATGCTGAAAATTCCATACTTGTATCAAAAATATACTGTGGAATCAAGCTGTAATCAAAAATAAATAAATAAAATAATGAAAAATATATCTAATAAAGAAATAAGGTCCAGGTAAATGTGTAAATACTAGCTGGACATAGGCGAACACGAAAAGTTTTGACTAGTAGGCTATTTTAAGCGTTGGTCGGTCCGGAATCATTTCCCGATCGATGCATTTCTGATCCTCATCTAGTTTACTAGCCAGTGGTAAGCTTGGTTAAAGAGGGAACGTTGGGTGTCAGGCTAGCAACTCGACTATGTAGAAGCAACACCACTACTACTGAGAGTTCAAAACTTAGAGCTGGAAGCCTTATGCTCTATAAGGAATGCAAAGGAATGAAAAACGACATTTTAAAAGTAATAGATTCTTAATTGTTATATTGAAAGAAAACACAAACGAGTTCTTTGAATAACATACGTACGATTCATGCACACAAGTCGCCGGATACATCTACTTAAAAACTGTCAGCATACCACTTGTGACACGAAATGTTATACTATGAATTACTGCTCACTAATTACCAGAGTTAAATCTGGGAGTCATTAAATATGTTAGACTGTAGTCTGGAAATGCTTCCACAACAGCCAGTAATTTGCAGGTTCCGATTTCACCACACATACTGAAATGTAGACAACTAATTGATATCATTAGCCTTATAGCAATAAGTGTACATAAATTTGTGCGATTTTAAGTTGTATTTTAAACTTTCACTAAGACTACTAGAACCATTTCAAAATAGTTTTTGAGGTCGTTGTGTTCTCTGAGCTGGATAGTTAATTTGCGAAGCTTTCATCGCCCTACTAGGCGACATCTTCAGCGCATACTTCAATTTGAAATAGGCATAGCACACACAAGCCAACACAAGAACATTTCATTCATTATTGTGCAGACCGAAGGATCCATCATATCGATGCATGTAGACAATTACGGATACCGATTTGATTGGGAGAATGTAGAAATTTTAGGTAGGGAAAACACCAAAAATATCACGAAATTTCTAGAAACCTGGCACTCAGACGAAACAGCAATTAACGGAAACAATTACTACAGGTCAAATTTACCAGCTAACAAAAAAAAATCACATGACAAGAAAGTTCAAATTCCAAGTCAATAAAAATGACCAATGAAGATGTAAACTGATAACCAATCACAACAATGGTTGTCAGGGTATACACAATGATCTTATTAATAATGGAGAATTGAAATAAGTTCACTTCACTTCAATATTAAACCTTGCGCTGGCGTTGTCCAGACAGACAATGAAAGTTTCGTAGTTAATTCATCAACCAGCTCAGGAAACACACTCAATTAAAAACTAGGACTAATATGTGTGCTAAGGGAAAATTTAAACGGTTAAATGTACACGCTGTACATCTTTTGGAATTCAAGTGGTATCATTAAAAAAAAAGACTAGATTCTACTCAATATTTCGAGTCTTCGTAAATAATATCTTATGGAAAAGGTGTGCAGAATTTCGTAATAAGTAGTGCACATATGGATTTATGGATTAAAGGACTGTGTGTTTAATAGTATCAACGCAATAAAGCAAAACAGTCATACAATACTCTAATACTATACTACATACCCAGCTTTATGTCTTTAAACAAAATATTAGAGAGAGAGAGAGAGTAAATACTTTGTATGAAATCACCAAAATGTGTGGACCACACTTTAGCAAACAAACATGATAAAGTGGATAACACGAATGCGTGCGTATGGAAATATATATACACACACACAGTGTTGCACATAGTCCATTGGCGCCATTCCTGTCCTCAATGCTATAAATTCTTATATATATTGGTGTGTCAAATAACTGATATGGATAGAGAGAGAAAAAAATTAAGAAAAGGTGTAGTGCGCGACACACACACTATACTGAATGGCGCCATAGTTTTTTGTACCAAATGCACAATATGTGGTAGGTCTTAAAATTTATATCACACAAATACACAAAATCATACTTTTTCGCAATTCATAATAGTGGTGGTGGTAGTAGTAGTAGTAGCTATAGTAGTACTACTGTCAGTAATCGTTATCTTAACAAAAAACATGGTAACAGACGACTGATGCACGCAGAAATTTATGCAGGCACAAAATACAGCATATATAGATGGGGGTAAATGAATCGAAATGCCTAAATAAGGCGTGGCATTATACGGTTTACGCAGACAGCAGAAAATGTGACATGTGATAATAATAATAACTATTGTGTATATCTTAATTATTGCTAAGGTCTGGTAATAAAGATTAATTTAGTTAGTACGCAACAATAAAAATCCACTTCGCGTTTGATGTCCTCCTCCTACAAAAGAGTTAGACACTTTTCTTTTTCCATAATCAAACTCCACCTGGAGAAATATGCCTAGCACTTTTGTGAAAAATTAATCAAAAATGAAAATGTTCTCCTTTTATCGAAAAATGCATACCATGCAAGAAATCAATAAATGATTTGGAAGAGAAAAGCAGACCTCCTTAATATATAACCACTGAAATCAGCTAGTAGTATGACTAATCAACCCAGGGGTGTATATTGTGAACGTTGAGTGATTAGGAGAAACCTTAGTTGCACACACCATGACACAATGTTGTCAGAGATTTCCGGACACATTAGCCTAACTCCGATGACAACCCGGTTACCAGTATTTTGACAGGTATAACCATCGCTTCACATTAGCATAGAGGAGGGGAAATGTCAGTAGTTGAACAGAGGCAACACTACACATGAAGTTGCCTATGACACGTCTATGGAGCTCGTATTCTCACACGACCAGACCAGATGTGCAGCATTTCAATGAAACAAGATTTTTCTGAACGTTTCACCGTGAAAGCCACAGCTTCTTCAGCAGAAAAATCTTGTTTTGATTTTCTTAACACGCTGGGATTAATTTAAATAATTTATAATGAATCAATCTGACTCGGCGCTCAAATTATTCCAGGAAGTTCGTAACACCTACGGTCTGGAAATCTATAACTGAAATAATAGTTTTTACACCTGGAAACGAAAAAAATGATGGGAATGAAAAAAACAAAAACTAAGCAGTCAGACCGAATTAGATCCATGGTAAATGAAGTGATTGGACTACTTTCTTTTAAGTGCATAGCTCTAAGTTCTTATGCAAATAATGAGGGCTTCCGCAGTGCAAAGAAGTCAAAAACACATTCCAACACATGTAAATGGCCTTGAATGATGAGTCAGTTGAGACGCTGTGATGGGGGTGTTTACAAAGTATTCAATTATAGTGCTTCTGACTGAACCAGTGCCTTCTCTTTGCAGCCATTCTGGTGAGTGTTCTCTAACACATTTTGAAAGTACCTAGCATGGCTACAAAGAGAAGGTCCTGATTCAATCAGAAGCATCATAACTGAACAAAGCGAACAGCTGCACATAACACACTTAGTCTATAAATTATTACAGACAGTAAGATCATAACAACACTATCCCCCTCCATTGATCATCACATTTGAACATTTATACACTTTCCTATAAACTGAAATGATAACCGACCTACACTAGTTAGCTGAAACCACGAAGGATTCCAGCACAGTGATTATTTCGTTGGTCAGTGAAGTAGATAATCCTTTAACAACACGTCACTTATATTTCCTTTTGTTTGGTTTCCAATTACAAATTAGCAATGTGATTCTATTTCTTAGAAACCCTACTTTGAATTTTCGGAACCCAAACCTACATGACTCTTTGTTTATCAAATCATCTACTAAAATTACAGTAAACTATTCAAAACCCATCATTCTTTTAAAATGTTGACATTTTCCAAGTGCTGGCTTGCAGAGATCTGATCAATTTCAAGTTTGACTACCAAATGACTTCAGTTAGAAACCACTGAAAACCAAGGAGTACTGGACAGCTGTTTCGTCCTTGTTTGGGACTCTTCAGCACCGTACATCTATAGACCACACCAGGGATCGAAACCAGGACCTTCAGGTTACGAGGCAACCTCGTTGACTATCAGCCACTGAGACGTCCCAATGGCTGATATTGAGACAAAATTGTAATCGTCTGTATAAAAAATGACAAGTTAGAAAGTAGATGAAACAGCTAGCGTTAAGCGCTATCGCCTAATAGAATAACTATCGTCTTGTACTTTTGGGCTTTGATATCAAATGTTTGAAGTCTCATCATGAGACTTGGCGATATTATCAGTATCAACCTTATGCGGCAGAATCCAGACAAGAAATAATTTTTCAAGACTTACAACCAAACTAAGTGACTCAGCAACTTAGGACATAACTAAAGTCGCTTGCAGAGTGTGAAATAGTGTACTATATTCACTTTTAACATTTTTCCTAACGAATACTGATTTGGGCAACTGATGACTAAGTCTTCAACAGAATAACATGTTTGTAGGAAGGCCACCCACTATTTCAGCTAGCCTTTCTGACCTTGAGATACTGTTTGCAAACATGTACGCATTCATTTGGTACAGACATACAGTGCAAAAACAGTAATACGCCCACCACTTTTGTGTCGATGTTAAAGATATATACATGTT